ATCTGAATACCTTCATTTTTGAGTAATTTTCGAAAACTTGAACGCAACACTTTTTCATTATCAGTTCTCAAGTACTGGATATTTCTCCCATCCTTTTTTAATTTCCTACCATACTGATAATTGATCTAGTTAACGATTGCTGATCCTTATTTGGAAGAGTATCAACTAAATTTCCATGACCCTTGGTGTCGTATGCGTGTAAGGCGTATCTCTCTCCGTTCCATGCTTCCGAAAATATTAATAGATCGACATGCATTCTTGTCCAGTAATTTTTTCCTTTCTCTGAAGATATTCTCGAGACAATTCTCTTCGATTTTGAGCAGACAACTTTCGCATTATCCATCATATGAACCAGTAATCTTAGCACCAACAACAGAATCATTAAGCTTTATAACCGTATTTGGATCTAGATGTCCCAAACGACGATGCCAGATGACAACATCCGCTGAAGAAATTTTAGTTGCCAAAGAAGGATTTTGAAGAATTAAATCAACTGAGATACTTTCTGGTATGTCAATGACTCTTTTTGTTTGAATAGGATAACAAGCATCTTTGGCTATAAAGTTTTGGTTGTACTGGTTCAATATTTTCACTTCTGGAGTCCTCGTTGCATCCCATCGAGTCAACCAATTCTCAGAATGATCCCAGATCAGCATTTGTTCCTTTAATCTGTCCATTGAGATAATGTTAACCATAAAGTCTGGAAAATACAAAACCCCGTCGACTTTTAGAGTGTCTGATCCTCTAGGAGTTGTCACCTTCAGAACAATAAACTCAATGCCAATAACTTCACAATCTCTAGCCCCTGTTGTTATAATTTGTTTCGAATGTAAAACCTTGAAAGTATAAATAAATCTTTATTATGACAAAGATGCCGTTCAGAGCCTGAATCGAATACCCACCAATTTCTATATGGTAGAGATGAATGAGAATTTGCTAGGGCGAGCATTTATGATGAGTGCGCGTATTGGTCTTGTGATATCGATGATTCGGTGACATAGTTTTCGTGAATGTCGGTATGGTCTTCAACTGATAAGGCCGACGACGATTGATGACCTGAATTACCGAAAATATCGCGAGGTATACTATGTCCAAGTCTATCTTCTATATTTTTCTTATTTGCGGCATTCATTAACGTTTGACGCAGTTTCTTCTTTGCGATAGGATTTCGTCGATCCTTCCAATCTTTCGGTCTTAAGTTAACATTTAAAACATAACGTTTTTCTATTGCATGATATAAAGTTCCACACGGACAATTGGCCTTCTTTTCTTTTCTTTCTTCAGGGTAACTTTGACTGGATGGCTCTTCCTTACTGACTGCTGCAAATGATACTGGTGGCTAAAATACACTTTCCAAATCTTGAGTTTCAATATAATCGAAGCATTTTAAATTTGCTTCACATAGCCTGTATTGTTCTGTTAATTGTTGGAGAGTGATAGATCCCATCCAAATATGAGCAGCAAAACTTGTTGCAAAGAATATTGACCTACGTCCTATTGCGGCATGAAATCGATCGATAATATCGCAAGCCCAAGTATATTTATTCGACTTTGCAATGTTCTCGATCTGGATCCAGCTGTTTAACCATACGTCAATGTCTGTTGTTTTTGCTGATTTTTCGAGCCTAGACAACTTATTTTGCAACTCAATTTCTGCCGACTTCGATGAGGGTATGAGTGTTCTTTTAACTGCTCTATATAACCACGTTGGAGTACGTTTATTTGTTGAATTCATCGATAAAACACGCTCATATAGAGTTGGCTCTAAAATCCGAGTCATGTACTCTAATAGCTGTTGTGTTCGATTGTGAGTCAAAATAAACTGGCGCTCTCTTGCCTCCCATAAAGCAATCTGTTGAGTAGTTGCATCATCATTTAGGAATCTTGGTCTCTCAATCTGTAAGCATGTGTCTGAGGCTTCATCATCTTCTGTTTCGATTAAATCGTCTGTCATCAACTAAGCAGCTCGCTCAGTAACAGCACGACGCCATTGTTCAAATCCCCCAGCATTTTTTAACAGAAAATTAACACTCATCTTTAAAAAAAATTAACTTATTTTATTTCTTATCTTGAGCAGCGTTAAAACCCCGGGCTCAAAACTTATCGACTAACATATGTTTGGACAAAGGCATAAGATATTTATGGATTGTCGTGTGTCGATATGTGTAAATAATGTGGACACCTTTCACATGACCAACTAGCTGACTAAGCAGCATTTCCTGACACTGGTTTTACGTCGATGGCAACAGACCTCATGCGCTCTACAACCTCAGTGACAGGGAGGGCAAGACTGGACACCTGTACGCAGTGTCCTCTGCCGACCTAGCAAATCCTCATTCCAATGACCACACCTCTCTCCGACCTTCTCTGGCCTCAGTTGACTACCGAATACACGCCTACGCCGATATTTACACCCGACGGAGGAAGCAAAGCATGGCGCACAAATCTGGAAGACATTACTTTGAGATGGACGTGAGAGAGATTAGGACAAGTATCCTAGATAACACGGAGGATTGACACAGCTTCTAAGGGCTTGGGATTTTGGATTTCGGCATGGAGTTTTACGAGTTGAGCTTTGTGCGGGCCAAGAATTCGCTTGCGAGAGTGCTGCTGACACTATAAACACAAGTCAACGATGGAAGATGCCGTGGTCCGCCTCCTGGCGGTGTTTTCTGGTATTATTCGAGTAGCCTGGGCACCTACTCCACTTGGGAAGGAGTCACCTAAGACTATATTTCGCGAGGAGAAAAGTTGAAAGATGATGGAGGCATGTCTGGATAACTCAGGGTTTTTGAGCGGTTCCCCTGCGTGGGTATTCACGGATGAGGGTTGACTTGGGATGAAGAAAATGCCGCCATAACTTCGAAGTGGTGTGTGTGTGTGTTTTATTGTACTACTTGAGTCTATGACTATCTAGCACATTGGGCTCCTCTCAGACCCAGGCCACACCTTGTACAGTGCTCCTATCCTCTTTTGTTACTTGAAAGATCATTGATATATTCCCCTTGATGAATAGCCATTCAGCTAAGTATTTACCCGTGGAATTCAGCCACCTTTTCCACGGAACCTTCTACCCAAAAAAAATAAAAATGGTAGCAATGGAAACTGCGTGCGCGGGAAAAAGTCTCAAAAAACCTGCAGCCCCAGCCAGGCGAGGCCTAGACACCGGGACCACATGAGGTGCGCATATTCATCTATACCTCCCTTCTTTGTAACAGTCGAAGCCGACTTGATCCAATCCACCATCTCCGTATCGGGTGCTGGGTACGCTCCGGAAACTCATCGGATGGCTTTTCCTCCATGATCAAGGGTGGGTGACGAGTAGGGCTCCGACCCTACCATCTGATCTGATCGTGGTTAGCTTCATGATAGTGGTGATAGGGGAATGTGTTGAGAGATGAAGACGATACAGACCGCGAAAGCGATTGGGAATCCTCTTCGAAGTGAGGACTTTGTTACTCAATCTCGGCTCTGCAGACTCTACAGTGAGAGCTGGAGGTTCGTAGGGGACACCACTGACAGGTGTTGAGAATAGTCCTCCACTTCGAAGTGGTACTTGCAAATGAAATCCCAGGCATGAGTACACTTTCTTTACATTGAGTCATTTATTACATACTTTTCTTTGTTGTTGTGTCATAGCTAGTTAGCTGCAAACGCAATAAAAATCTGATGCAAAAAATTTTGTTCAAGAAAGAGTGATAATCTAGGTCAATCATATCTCATGGCGCTTTTGCATATTCTTCTAATATGAACAAATTATTGTAATGCAGTCATTTTACTTACTTGACTACTACATATTTCACTTTCAGGTTCTGTTGCCTTACATAGTTATAAACCTATACGGGGCAATAGAATGAATTAATAATAACTACCAGGTTAGTAGAAGAAACCGCGTACAAGTGTTGAGTTTTGCCCTCTAGGACAAATACTTGAAATCGGCGAAGAGGCTCTGCACGATTCTCTCGCATAGAAAACGATAAAATAATTTGTAACAACCTTTGCGTGCGGCGTCCATAGTTCTTCGCCCTTACACTACCTTTCAGTCATTTCCACAACAAATTTCATTTCTTCACTTACCTTCCACATCACGTGTCGACACCCTAAATTCATCCATCCGACACCCAGAATATTCTAGTATCATGAGGTAACCCATTGCCAAGCTTCCACCTAATTCCAGTTCATCTATGAAAATCCGTCATATTCTTCTTGATTCATGTGAGCCCATCCGTATTCTAGTATCGTCTAGTTTACTGTAGAGATTTCCACGAGTGCCAAGAAATCTCCGCTTGCGTTTCCGTAACCAGGTACGAGCCCTGTCACAACCTATTGCGAGGTGAGACGAGTTGTGGGATTTGAGGCACAAACATATCGCAAGTCGTGGTTGAACTTGCTAATACTTTTCTAGCTTCTTGGATGCTTGAAGAATCTACTCCAATTTTGGGCAAACGTTGATCGTATCATTGGGGAAGTCATTCATAGCAGCTGGTCACTTTTCATCTTCGCTATTGGCCCGAAGCTTTCTCACATGACCTGAGGTTAGATGCTCCTGCATGACAAGGTCAAGGACGACGGGAATATCCGGATATGTGGGGTAGGTGAATGTGTGGTGATTGGAAGTACCTAGAATATTCATGTAAAATTCATGGAATATTCATGGAATATTCATGGAATATTCATGGAATATTCATGGAGTGACCAGAAACTTGACGACGTCGATTGCGTCACACTGACGAAATTATCGGCCAATGGACTGATTCATCGGGCGAGAACTTAGACAATGGATATTACCAGCGATTTCTAGAAATGACCAGAAATTGATCTGAAAGGTATAAAGTGAGGGTTAGACTAGATGTGGTTCAACAAGACATCAACCGTTGAAGACCGCATTGAACCATCCCATTCATCGCACCCATCAAAGTCAAGCAAAACAAATAATCCTCATAAAAGCGTCGCGTCGCGTCAACACCAAATCAACTAATATAGACATCCCGATCGCCACAATGTCACTCTTCCCACGAGCATTTTTGCATCAAGACCAGTCCTCTAGCCCGACCATCTTCCGACTGATAGACGAGATCGACCAGTACTCCCGCGGTGTGGACCGAAACACCCATCAAATCACAAAGTCTTTCACACCTAAGTTCGACGTGAAGGAGCTCGGAGACTCGTTTGAACTACATGGAGAGCTACCTGGTATTGATCAAAAAGACGTCGACATCGAGTTCACCGACGCGTCAACACTCACGGTCAAAGGTCGCATTGAACGCAGTTATGCGAAAGGAAACCCACCAGCTGGGTTCGTGGAGGGCGAGGCCGACAAAGCAGCGACATGCGGAGACGGCAAATGCGGGACGAGCAAAGAAGACAATAATGTTTCGGTCAAGAAGAGCGAGGACTCGAAGACGTCACGGGAGAAGTTCTGGGTGATGGAGAGAAGCATTGGAGAGTTCTCGAGATCTTTTACATTCCCGGTACCGGTGAACCAGGAAAGTGTAAAGGCTTCGATGAAGGACGGAATACTGAGCGTCATGATACCAAAATCGAAGAAGCAGGAAAACCGGAAAATAAGCATTCAGTAAACTCGAGACGGAAGGGATGGGTGAATTTGAATTTGAATTTTTGATGATTGAAAAATGAAACGAAGTTACGCAAAGTAACTAATAAGTAATGATGTTATACGATACTTTTTACTTTAATAAAGCAAAATAATTATATTCAGTAAAAATATCAGTTCCTCAAACTGCAGAATATTTGATAGGACTCCCATGACCAGTGATACCAAGCCATATGTTCTGCGTGTGAGGTATGATAGCAAATCATCTCCGCGAGTGAGTCCTCCACAGTTGCCTTGTTATTTGAAATATCCTGGAATGAAATGGGTGCAATATTCCTAGAAAGAAAGAAAAAGACGACTAAAGTATGTCACTTTCATATTACTGTTAAATGAGTCAAGGATATGCACTATGAGTGTAAGTATAAGCAATACAGCAACGAAACTACAATTTTGACGATTTTGGTACGATCTAGGCTTAGATAATCCTCGAATAACCTCCATTTGTTCACACCATTTGGCCGCTCATGTATCCATCAGATTGCCTGAAGTACTGCCAAATTACTGATTCCAATATCTTAACTACACAGAAGATCGTGTCAGGATCTAGACGAATGGAAGGGATAGTACGTCTATAACACTCTGTGTCTCAATCTCCAACAACGATCATAGTCATAATTTAAATAAAGAACTTCAGACGTGCGAAGATAATCATCTAGTATTATCACCATAAAAATCCTCGGATTATGCTTCCATATTAAAGTTTCTAAGCGTCGGATGTCTTGTCAATCAGTTAGAGCCTGATACCTACCCAGAGCAATCCACCAGTCGGCTACTGATATGATAACCTTTTATTCATGTTATGTTGGGTATCTTAAAGGCTATCGTAGGACAATGAATTGATCGATGGGGATTGAAGGTGATGATAAAAATTTATTCGTGACGGACATAAGCCCTGCACTCAAAGAGCATGACGTGGAGAAGGCTAGTTCTTTCAAGACGACTACATACGACAATAACTCAATTTGACATTTGGACTACTCGTGTATTTGGTGCACTCGCTGATACTACTCGAGACCTTGGTGCCAAGGGCTTTCACCCTTCCCTCATCCGTTAATATTCACCAAAGGGAAAACAGGAAAAACCTTTGCCTACCCTAACATGGCTTTGTAATTTTGTAGATAGCCGTCGCGCGAGATATGGCCTCTCAGTCCTCCCTTTCTCGAGTGAAGTAGGTGCCGAGGATACCTACACTTTTATTCGGGGGCATGACGAACAGGAGGCGGTCCAAAACACCTTCCATTATTTCCTGTTTCTAAGGTTTCAGATGTACCATGCGAAATCGTTGCCTCTGCGCCCTCAGACACTCGTAAGTCGGAAATACTCGATAAATATGCGTCCCAGCACGCTAATTTGTGACCTCTTCACTCGTTTGTCCCACGTCCCATGTCCCAGCTGCATATCTTTCCTCAAGATGTAAAGCCCCATTAGAACAGCGGTCTCTCGTATACCAAGTTCCGAGCTTTGTAGATTATGACTTTATTTTCTCCTCGTGGTTATACATAGCATCGTAAATCTGTAGTGGGAGATGGCCGGCTTTTGATGAGGCAAATGTCCGATGGCAGTTGGAGTAACGTCATTATCGGTATTTGAGGCGAGCTGGTGTAGTAAGATTGAGGTGAAGGACTCGCTTGAGAACGATAGATCCGATATTGACGAGAAGTCGTCTATTTTAGATGTGCTTGGGGTTGCTTTTGACTTCGATTCAGATGCAATTCTTCCTGGCTATCCCAGACATGCGGAGCATACTGAGCGATGACACCGGCACCACTGGAAGGTGAAGAATTCGTCTTTGCCAGCTAATGAGGATTGAAGTTGTGGTTAACGAAAGCGTGCGTATATAGTTGTAAGATGAGAGTCTCGAAGATATTGTCATTGTAATTCATTGGAAGCGTAGAACGGTTGAATGGCTGGAGAGCAGCTATCAGTTAAGCTTCACGAATACTTTTCAAAGACGGAGATGGATAGAAGGTCTCATTACTTCTAAATGCACGCCCATCTAATTAGGATTTTTGGATGTCTTGCGAACCAGTTTTGGTCGACCGCCATTATTTGCATCGGATTTGAATTGCGTATACGAAGATCTTGATATGACACAAGATTAGAGGTAAGGTTGAGAATCTATGACTCAATTTGAACGAAGAGCATTCATGGCTCAAATTTCAATCACTAATACTACTATGAAGTCATGGTTGTTTTTAACTCGCCCCAAGTCATTCCTCATTCGTGAATACTCACTAAGGGGAACTCCTCAAATATTCCGAGTTATCCATATTTATCTCTATCATCCATTGGATTTTTTCAGCGCGCAATGTGACCTTAGGTGTCTCCTTCCCAAGCGGAGTAAGTCCCCAGGCCACTCAAACTAAACCGGAGATCACCATTAAGCAGCATCTACGGTACATCCCAGTTTTGAGCGTTACTATTTGTTTTATTTGTCGGGTATAAATTTTGGCTTGGGCTAACTTCTTTGATGCTGAAAAGTTTGAATGAACTTGACTCTGGGGATATACTTCGCTCCTAGGTTCGTAGAGGAGACCGCGGACAGGTGTTCATTCTCTGTCCTTCTACACCAGTCTCTCTTGTTTATGATTTTTCTGATCTTTGCAGAGATCTGGTAAGACAATTTTTGGCATTCGGGAAATACTGATGAAACAACAATTTGAACAGCCTTGGGAATACGTCAATTTATATGTGTGTAGATATATTGTCGAGATACTATTATTTGGGAAGCAGCCATAGGCGAATAAATGAGAAGAATCGTAATTTCGAACTCATCCCTCGGTCATACACATCAAGCTCCTCATAAGAGACTTGTGCAAGATATTCTATTTTAACAGAGTCGCAAGTGTCTCTTACACTAACGTCCTCCCCCTCCAAAAATGGCTCTTTGGTCTTTATTCGTGCTTTGCCAACATCATGAGATAATTATCGCCAGTCATTTTGAAAGAAAGCGAGCAGTCGTCTTTGCCAAACTTTGCCTTTAGACCCTAGTCGAATTTAACCTGAGCTTTACTTAACCTGAGCTTTACTTAACCTTGGTATGATCTAAACTATTCCCTCGTAAGTAATTACATTTTATAATTTTATTAGCTGCCAACCCCATACTTCGACACGGGTAAGACGCTGGCTAAGATGACTCGATACATATACTCGTTCTAGTCAGATCAGAAGGATAAATACCGGCAATGAGAGGTCAGCTGAGCTATACAACAATTCTCTGGCAATAATAATGAATGTAATTAATGAAAGCACATCTAAATAACAAAATGTACTAGGTTTCATCCACTATCTCAAGCAAATCGACTGCAAAAATCCAAAGCTTATTTCTCACAGTACGCTTTCAGCTGTCCATATCTTCAAAATGGCTATTGACATGATGCATCAGAGCTGCATCATCTCCATTAAAATTCCCGCATACTGGGCAGGAAGGTGCTTCGTCTCCTGGTGTATACTGAGCTTCTTTACTACTTCCATGTTCTTGATCTTCACAACGGCTGCTATTCTGTCTTGGTTTTTTCTGTTTTCCCTTCTTCTTCACGACCATGTAGTCATCTAGGCTTGCGGTAACATGCCTTGGTTCATCGAACCCATCAATCCGAAAATCTGACACCTGTGATCGTCGGGGCCTTGCTCGGTTTACTGTTGAAATCGAATTAAAGTCAAGATTTTTGGGGGATTCGTCTACTGTTCCTGCCAGCGAGTCTCTGGCTGGTTTAATCATTATAACCTGCACCCGACCGACTCTTCCATCCTGCAATCGCACCTTGATACCCCTTGGATGATCTCTTCGCGTAAGTATCTCTTTCACTAGTCCCTGTACTTGGCGCCCCGTGGATTGATCTTCCTTGAGTACTATAGAGACGCTAGTACCGATGCAGACTTGTTGCGATGTAGGCACTGTCAGATTTGTAGTAATCAGGCCTCGTCTAGGTTCATGACGCTGCATCTCTCTGGTTTTAATATTCCTTAAATCTGTGGTTGCAACCTATTGAAGCTGAGGCGAGCAAGTTTTTTTGGGATTCCTCTAGCTGTTTCAATCTCATTGATAATATCTGAAACGTTGGCGAATAAGGTTCCAACGACCTAGTCCTACAGATGAATTGTACGCGTGGCTACAGCTCTGCCCACATCGAGATCTTTAATAAAATCACATGACCATACGATTGAGACGGAATCCTGGGAATTGGCCCAAACTGATGACGACCAAATAAATTTAAAAGTCGCCGTTATGCGAGATTCATGGTGAAAGTAATTTCAGTGGGAATCAAACAGGAGACGAGTATTTTAAACGTCGAGTTATAATTGATCAAATTGTATGTGACGTAATTTCTCCAGGTATTTCAGCAGAAGTAAATGATGCGATAGTTTATTTAGTGACTAAATGTCAGACAATTGGGAGCCCGACCAGTGAAAGGAAAGTGTATGTAGTGAGAGGAAAATATAATTCAGCAAAAACAGCTTAATTGCTATTTCCCCCGGAATTCTAGGACTGTATACACTGGTCATGATTGACTTGATCTCTTGAGCTCAAAATATAGACATGCGCTAGGGATAGAATAAAAATTATGATTGGTGTATGATATGGGAATCTACACTCGCGCTGGAATTGCTTAAGTTTTTCATGGGGAATTTTTTCACTCACATGCACATATGAGGTTACTTTGACGATTGTTATGCTACAGGAAGGGGGAAGCTCGTATTTTCTCCTCCAGCTAGTTCACTTGTAGATTAATCACGTAACCAGTGTGCAGCTCTCCAAGGTGTGCTCCCAACTGAGCAGTCATGCCATTTGTCCCATATCAACAACCCATCTCTCATACTGCACACATTACTACTTGTAATGTAATTATATAGAGACTGGATCTCCTTCATGCGCCACAATGCCATGCTGTCATAATAAATATCTATGCACCAGCTACTAGATCTACCATACTTCATAGATGAGCATAACAATAACCTTCTGTTCTGAATACAGAATACAAGCACTTTATCGAAGCAAACAATCCACGTACATGTGAAAAATTCCCATCTTTTACCGGAAACATTTTCCTGTCCAACTTCTTTGGTTGTTATTTTTAGCCTTCGACACTAAAGGTCTATTAGCTACCATCTTCAATCCCACGGCTTTTGGCGAGATCAACGTATCCAGTCATCTAGATAATCAATTTGCGGCTCTATGATCTCATTAGTTACCACTTGTCACTACTTACGACAAGCAGCTCTGACAAAATAGAATAATCTCGGAAGCTAACAGCCAGCTAGCTTAATAGGGAAAATGTAATCTGTACTAAGGTAGGATCAACAGTGTCTTATGGACTGTAGTTGATATGTATCCCTAGAAACCAAGTACTGGATGCTTTAGCTTCGTCAGTCTGTCTGGTGACTATGTCACCCCTATCTCACCCCTACTACCCACTATTACAAGGGCAAAAAGACAAATAGTTCTGCTGTAAAAGTCACCACTGGAGAAAAGACATGGATCGTCTGTCCATAGCGTCCTCAACGAGCCCCAGAGCGAAACAAAATTCCAGAACCAATTCCGACAAAACTTGGAGTATAAGATAAGTTGACTCACAATGCAATGATTCAAGACTCTCCCTAAAATCAGTCACTCACTCACAAAGATATCGATTCACATGAAAACTTTATCAAGTTTACAAGGTCGACCTAGTCAATCCTAGTTGTAATCTCCAGACGTCTCATCGACTCATTCTTAAGTATCTGCTAGACGCTAATTACATGTCTACAACAACATGAGTATCCAAAAAAGGACCAAAGTCCTAGTACACCAAACTGAGAGGTGAATTTTGTGGATAGGAGTGGGTGATATCAGAAAAGACGTGCAAGACAACGCAATAGATTAATAAAAACTCGAAGGCTATGAGCTTTTAGATTTTTGGTTCGAGTTTATTCAAGCTGAAGATCGTTATGCGAGCCACATCTTCAATAAGAAAATCATAAGCGACAGATTTAACGCCGTCGTAATTGTATAGGGCGGTGGCACATCATCCGTTCAAGTCTATAATATAGATACTAGATGGCTTGGACACTTTATTCACCTAGGACAGAAGATGGTTTGTTCAAATCCAGAAAGGCTTCATTATATTTCTCGCGGAGCTCGAGTGCTTTTCTCATGGAGGTAAATGAAATCCAGATTTACCAGACCGTACTGCACGCATTGCAAAGTAGACAAAGACTACTGATCTTCGATTGCTACCAGCTTTGGTGAATTCTCGGTTGGTAATGATCTCGGTGATAGGAATGTTATTCCATCACGTAGTCAGAACACAATGTTTCTACCTAAGCGATGTAGAATAAAGATAGATAATTAAAGATAGATAATTAGATATAGATTTCCATCTAACATTTTTAATCTATATAGGTTCTTTAAACTAAAACCTCCCTGATCCTATTATTTTATCTCTGATCCTGAAATCCACAATTGTCGGTAGTCCCAGGTAATGAAATTCAGTAGGTTCTACTGTTGTTCAATGGTTCTTCTATTTCGTAGTATAATCTTAAGGGATAAGGTTGTACGTTACAAATAAGATATTTAGGTCCAAGTGCGAAGGAGTGACGTCATCCGGTCCCAAATAATCAATCAAGCACTTACAAACTACAATAGACTTACAGTTACTTTAAAACATAACTGTAACTGAGAAATTCATATAGTAATATATCGACACCAGTATCTTAACATCCATAAAGTATCTACTTGGCGGTCAACGTTCACTTCTATTATTCCAGATACCTCCTATACTATTAGAAGAATGCTTGAATAATCATGGGGTTTGGAAATTTCTATGATGGTATTCACTGAAGAGAGAGAACTTTTTTAATGTTAACAAAAATACCTCAGTGGTTTTTGCGAATAGAAACTAGGGCATTAAAGTCTCTAACGTCAAAAGAGTTACCTAACAGGTATATATAGCAATGATTATGTGCTGAAGCCAGATAGCTGAATACATATATTTTTACATTTATAAGAGTCTATATCCACTATCCGTTAGATCAATACGCCTCTAGAGACTTCTAAATAATGGATTATAAGCCTGTGATGTTTTAGCTACTGCAAAATGTTATAGCTTCACTTCTGAGTCAATGGTCATATTCTGCTATAGTCTATCCACGCTCCAGATAACTAGTAGTGACCTCTATACCTCCCACCTAAGAGTCAAAGTAGTTGTTATTTTGCTAATTTTAACTCCTTTATCGTTAAATTTTTGAGTTATTTAATTCATATTTTCTGTTATTTTATTGTAATTTCAATGAATTATCTTTTGTTCTATACTGAATCTTCAATGCAGTTCGATTGTCACTTTGACCTTCACTATTACTTTTTAACTCGCAACATCTTCGGAAAAGCTGATTATAGAAATCTAACGGTTGTACCCTTTCGATTTTTTAATCTCCTTCAGTAGTAGCCCACGTCATTGGATTCTGAGTACCGGTGGCATCAATCCTGATTCTTAATAAACGCATTTCGCTCAGTCTTTTTGAGCGTTTTTGATGCACGAAATCCACTCCGACTTTAACGACTACCTTTGGTAAAAATATTCATAGCGTTCAATAACAATCGGAAACGAGAATGTTAGAATATGTCTTCGTAAGACTCTAAGCTTTTCCGCTCTAGAAAACGCTCCACCATCGTATTTATCCAAAAATAAATTACACCAGTTATTGAGAAACTAGTGAATGGTTAAATCAAACGGTCAAAGCACGCAAGCAATACCATAAACAATGGCTTTTATCTCATATAAATTTTACAGTTTATAGATACCTGTATTAGCCCATAGTAAGCTTAATCAGGATTTCGAATCGAATTCGAAATACCATGAACAAATGCTGTTTGAACGATGGGAAAGTTAACCAGTGGATCGTGCAAACATTAATTGTTCCCTGACGATCATCTCACATAAACGCTCTAACGTAAACTTCAGTGCGAAATGAAGCTTCTATGCCAAGTCCTGGATTTGTGCAAGGCTGAGCTCGCAGATCAGTCTGGGTAACCATCAGCAAACCCAAACATCTACATCGTTTCACCTCACCTCATCTCACCATAATTCGTAGGAGCTAAGCCAGCAGTATTTCAGCAAGATCGAGCTTATCCCAAAATTTTTATTACATATCTCTGAACCATGAATCTATGCAGTACGAATAAGATGCCTTCATATATTGATAATTTAGTATCAGGTTCTAATCTCAATTTACGGTAATTGAAAAGACAACACCTTCGTAAATTTATAGAAATGTTTTTCGAAGATCTTGGGAAACATTCTTTTATTTTTTCAAACATTGAACTGATTATCTGTGATTCCATAATGATGATAGAAACATGGGATAATTAATGCCAGGAATGACCAATCTATTCTACACTTACACCAGGTAATCAACAGAGAACTCGACCCTTTCTGTTACAAAGTCCCTGAATTTCTAATTGAAACAATGCATTACCATGGTATTTCGCTGAGCTTTGTTAAGCTCCACCCAATTATTCTGGCATTTTGAAAATCAGTCCCCATCATTTCTCGGCAATTTTACAGCCGCATTATGGTACTAAAAGATTTTATTATATCTCTTCTACGACAAATAGACCCAACTTCACGTCTTTCCGGGTAGCAAGTCGAATAATCGAGTAAATTGAGCAATTTGGAGCCTTAGGTGGTGATATACAAGCTGATACTTCTACTTGAGGTTTTGGGACTCAGTTTACTGGGACGACGTTGGGATGCATGAATCAAGCACGCACGGCCTATTCCTGTCGATACTTCACTTTGGGGGCTCAGTCATCTCGTGGCAATTTGTTCATCATCCGCAATCGTCATTGGCATAAATCTACCCTAGGCTACATCTCTGTATGCAACCTTAACTGCAACAACACACGTGTGTCCATCACAATGTATCCGTGCACACAACAATCTCCGGGGTAGATCCCTTCAATGTGTTTATGGCTAGCCGATCTACTTATTCAAGCGAATGACTATGGTAGCTGTTGACCTAGCCGGGTTGATCACGTTTTATATCCGCTTCATAGTTTTCTGTGCCTCACCTGTTACACCCACGAGCACTCATCACAAGAGAAAACTCGAACTATCCGTCAGCTTTCGGACCAACGATGATCATGTGGATGATATCTTTACTTACCAGGCGCCTCTTCAACTGGTTCCCTCTTCCTTGCCGTCTGAAGAGGAGATCGACGATAATTCAGGGATCTCCACATAGTCGGACGCTTCAGAAACATTTTCGAGGGGATATTCGTCGATTAGGCTGTATATGATAGCTTGTTAAACTTGGATGAGCCTTTAGAAAGAGCTATGTTCCGGTTTAAAGGTGCTGCTACACGAGCGGTCAGGTCGGGCTCAGCCGTCTCCGATATGATTAAGGAGGCTCAGTCTTCGCCAGGCCGACAGGTTAAAGTTGCAAGAGATAAATCTAGGACAAGCCAATACTATCTAGATTTGAGTTCGGAAAGACAATCGGAAGTTGTCCACGCTGTTCACCCACGTGTGATGTGCCAAACCCAAAAACCAGTTCAGAAGACTTGTTCAACTTGTAAAAGCTTTCAGGGTTGCCAGTCATTTACATGGCAGCGGATTCTCTACAAGAAGTCAGGAGCTGCCAGAATGGGAAATAAGCAGCATCATCTCTGAGTCGGCTTGATCAAATATCAACATTGATTCTAGGACGGAAACGAACCTATCACAAGAAAACATGTTATACGCTCTAAGCCTCTCTACCTATGCAACCTGCATCTGCTTCTATTTCTCAAACGCTTTACCATTTGAAGGTATAAAAGATTACCGGATCAAATCTTTAGGTGGACGAGGTAGTAGCCCAAATGACTATCAGGATCAGTTTATGACGGGTATCAATCAGTTGCAGACATGGTATGATGATCATAATGGTCTATGGGATAGTGCTTGGTGGCCAAGTGCAAACATCATCACGATGATGGCGGATTTTCAGGAACACTTTCCCTCCAACATTGCACCAATTACCGATCATGTGTTCCCAAATACGCTACATCAGGCGCCCACTGTCTTTCCCAACTTCATCAACGAGTATTACGATGACGAGCTATGGTGGGCACTGGCCTGGATTAAGGTGTATGATGTCACATCAAACCCGGTCTACCTTGATACGGCGGCGGCGATATTTGAAGATTCAAAAAATATGTGGGGACAGACACCGTGCGGTGGACTTTGGTGAGTTGATGATGAGATAGATAAGCGGGCTAGACTGACTTGTTGGGATGAAGGTGGGACAAACAACATTCGCAAATTAACGCCGTGGAGAATGAGCTATATCTTACAACAGCCGCAAAGTTGGCAAATCGAAGGCCTTCAAATCCGTCTCCTTACTATTATTTGAACGAGGCGACTAAAGCTACTACGTGGTTCCGAAATTCAGGACTAATAAACGAGCATAACCTCATCAACGATGGTCTCAGCCTAGGCACATGCTCCAACAATGGAAACTTTGTATTTTCCTACAACCAGGGCACAATATTGTCAGGTCTTCTCGAATTGACTTGGGCTACGCAAGATCGTCAGTATGCTAACCTTGCTCACACGCTAGCAGAGGCATCAATATCCGCTTTGACCGACTCAGAAGGCATTCTACATGAGCCATGTGAGCCGAATGCCTGCAATAGTGATGAAGAACAGTTTAAGGGAATATTTATTCGCAATGTTCAGTTCCTCTTCAGTCGGGATGCCGACATTCCAGCAGCCAATGCAGCGATCTATAAAAAGTTTATTCAGACCAATGCAGACTCCATCTGGGCCAGAGATAATGCGAACGGGCGATTAGGCCTGGTTTGGAGTGGGCCAAACAGCGAGGCAACCGTGCAAACACAGGGCTCAGCATTGGATGCTATTGTAAGCGCGGCTAACGTGTCGTGAATATCTTTGATGTCCATAATTTTGATTCATATTTATTATTTTTGTGAGGCGACAGTGGAAGACTTTGCAGCCCAGACTATTTAGTAAGGCGTGGAAGTTGATCAATTTATATCTGGATGAGTTGGATGATTTGGGTATGGGGGTTTAGGGCGATACAGTTTTTTTCTATTTCTATTCCTATTTCTATTTCTATTTAATTTTATATTTAACCACAATTTTTGTCTTTAATCGAGTGAGAGCGTACGCCATAGTGTGTGACCTATGCCCGCTACGAATACCAGCCTGTGCTCACTAACGAACTCAAGGAAAAGGAATGGTGTGGGTGACATTTTAATATATATATATATATATATTGTATTTTGTGCTGCAAGATAGACTGTGGATACTTGCATATTGTAAAGGGGGTCATATTGAGAGAGGAATGGAGTAGGCTTGATTTACCGTCGTGACGACAAGGCAGAGCGGCTCGGGCGTCGGAATCTTGGGGCTAACGGGAAACAGAGCTGAAGACGCCACACGGCTACGCGCTGGATGAGTGAATCAGTCAGATTTTCTAGCTTAATTCACTTCTCTGTCAAACACAGTTTTTGTCCTTGACTGCTCGCGACATAGAGACACCAACGCTCCTCGCCCCAGAAAAACATCGCGGACTGTGCCAAGCTATTGAAGAGCAGCTACCTGTCGTCTCGGCTGAGGCTTTGTTGATTTTTTGTTTTGTGAAAGAGATCGGGCAGCGATTTTTGGGTCATATTGTATACGATAATTGAGAATTGAATTGAAATGAATGAATTAATATTTATTTGTGACGGTCACAAGCCTAACGCTCATGGAGCATGACGCGGAGAAGGCTAGTCCTTCCCCTTCGACTTTATACGACGATAACTCAATCTGAAATATAAGCCACTTATTTAGTGGATACATTTGCTGAGGTTACTTGAGACCTTTATGCTAGGGACTCTCACCCTTCCCTTGTGCGTGAATTTCCACCAAATGGAAAAATCGGACAAGCCTCCGGCTACCCTAACATATCTTTGTCATCTTGTATATAGCTGCCACCCGAGATATGCAATCACAGTGTCCTCAATTAATCGTCTACGGCAGGGTTCTGGGCTATCCAGACTTGAAATCTGGGAGATAATGACAAGGAGGCGGACTGCAACACCTTCCATCATTGCCGATTTTTAAAGTGTCGGTAGCGCTATCCGAAATCATAGCTTAGGTGCTCACAAGTCCCCCGAACTCGAAATTCCTCTGAAAATGTGCGACCCAGTATGCCCATGTTTGACCTTTTCAATCGTTCGTTCAAAGTCTCAGCTGCCTATCCTCCCACAACATTTTTAGCTACATTACTGCCATGGGCCCACATACACCAAGCACGACCTTTGCATAATATGCCTTAGTTTTCTCCTCGCAGGTAAACTTTGTATGATATTACTTAAGTGTGAGATGGCCGATTGCAATTAGAGTAACGCTGTTTTCAGAAGTTAAGGCAAGGCGATGTAGTTGGATTGAGGTACAGAGCTCGCGTGAGAACAATGGGTCCCACATGGACGAGAAGTCATCCATTTTATATATACTTGCGGTTGCTTTCGACTTCGATTCAGATGACATTCATGCTTAGTATCCCAAATATACTGTTGGTATGACAAAGGTCATACACTAAAAGTCTATCAGTTCACTTAACGTTATGAGAATACTTGTGTAAGGATTTCGAACTATCGTTCAGAAGAAATGCGCATTAATGGTTCATCTGTTATCTATTTTACAATGATGCTACAAGATATTAACTAAGTAGCGTTCGGATAACGTATTATCCGAATGACGAAATGCACAACGAAGGAAATCGTTTGCATGTAAACCAAGAACCACCAACTCTAAGTAAACCAAGCTAAAGATGCTATGCCATCATATACAGACCAGACTGAGCGATTACACCGGCACCAGTTGAAGGTGAAGAATTCGTCTTTTCCGGCGTCGACTTGGAATGAGACTCTCTCTTGTTATTATACTATCTTGGAATGATTTCTCTGTATAATACAAAAGGATGTATCCATTCACGAGTGGGCCAAATCGCTGGGTTTTGGCTGGCGGCTTTCGCTATTCTGTTCCTTGTCCCCCACATGGCTTCATGTGCCGTACAACTGCTATTCGCCATAAAGTCCGAGTGTGATATTTGTAAGAATTCCATACCCTCAAGCTCAAGCCTAGAATAAGAAGCTACTAAATTGATACGATCAGGAGACAAAAATACGTAGAATGGATTCAATCAAGTCTTGATGTGCGGCCAAATTTGTGAACTGGACAGGGCTGGAGATCCACTATGATTCAGTGTGATACGGGCAATTAAAAGAATACAAAGTCTAAAGCATTACTTCCTCAAATGTAAGATTATTAGCTAGTTTCCATCATGTTTGAACTCACCGCACTACTCAGTCCACCACAATCAATATTGGAGCAACTCTGTCAAAAGCACATCGAAGCATTATCACGAATGACGTATTTTTTTCTAAAAGTAACTTACTAATTCAAATATATCATATTCTCTCCTCATGGATTCAATGTATTGACTTGCTGTCCTGAAAAGAGCAATCGCCAGTTATTACTCATCAACATCGGGTAAAGTGTCCCTGGTATGGAAATTAGTTACTTTCCAAAATAATAGTTCTCCTAGCTCATACTTGTGGCGACTCCAGAACACTCAGCTACGTACTGACCCATGAGACTGACTACACAGGAGTGTTTAATTCCGGGTGAGAGGCCATGATTGAACAAGGTTCATCAGAATGTCATATAGGAAGGGTAATATTAGTGGTCGAGTTCTCTACCACCACGAAGTTCAGGTACGGGGGGCAAAGATTTAACACCTGTACGCGATGTCTTCTACAAACCTCGAAGTCAAATATTCTCCCAGAGCCAAGTTTAGTACAATTTCGCAATATCAAAGAAGTTAGTCCACGAGGCAATGATTCAAAATACTCCACCACGTCAATTTTTAACTCCCAACGAATTCGAATCCAATCAGAATTTAATCAAGTCTTCAAGTACGACTGAATACATTCCCATTCCAATTACAGCACCTCTATTTGACTATTCTCTGGCCTCAGCTGGTCGCCAAATACATTCCCTCGCCGATATTTATATCCGACGGAGAAAACATAGCTTGGCGCAAAAATCTGGGAGACAGTTCTTTTGGATTAACGTGAGAGAGATTAGGACAGGTTTCCAAGATAACACGGAAGATTGACACAAATTCGACGAGCTTGGGATTTGGGATTTCGGCTCGGGGTTTCACAAATTGATCTTTGTGTGAACCAAGAATTCGCTTGCGAGAGTACAGTTGACGCTATAGAATCAAGCCAATGATTGAAGCGGCCGTGTTTCACCAACTGGTGGTGTTCTCTGATAAAATTTGAGTAGCATGGGCACCTATTCCACTTGCGAAGGATACTCTTCAGACGATATTTCGTGGGGAGAAGAGTCAGTAGATGATGAATGCATGTCTGGATAACTCGGGGTTTTTGAGACGTTCCCCTGGATAAGTATTTAAGGATGATGGTTGACTTGTGATGAAGAATAAGCCACCATAACTTCGCAGTGGTATTTTCAAATGAAATCCCAGGCAAGTACGCTCTTTCTTTATATTGAATCATCTATTATATACTTTTCTTTGAGATTGTGTCGTAGCTAGATAGCTGCAATCGCAATTAAAATCTGATACAAAAAAAAGCTACTTTCTTCGCAACATAATAAATCTTACCCAAATCCCAAATCGATTCTGTACGCACTATCCAAGGCATTCCTTTTGGATGAGCGCACCTTCAAATGACACAAGAATTTGCCTTGACTTATCTCGAAACAGAAACACTAGATGTCATAAATACCCGCAATAGTTTCAAATTGCGCTGTTTGAATGTGAGATGACGCTCCTTATGAAATTCATAATCAAATGACAATATAGACTTGTAATGTAAATCTTAAGAAATACTGTCTCGAAAGGTATGTATTTTCGGGTTTTATGTAAATTATCCATTTTCAGGACAAATATCGATGTCATGACCGTGTGCACAAGTGCAGACATCGCTGTTCGCAGTAGTCATATGGTGGGACACATAATCAGGGATGATTGAGGGGCAAGTTATGAGTCTATCAGTTTAAAATTTCTATCAAACTATTTTCAAAAGTAAGTCATTGAAGGAGTCTAGCGGAAAATGTAAAAAAAATAATTCCTTATTTTATAACATAAAGCTAAAAACTCGCAAAGTTGACCTCCGAAAGCTGCAGGAGAAAGACCATTTTTACGGATGTGTTTTACCTATAAGTATAAAATGAGATTCGCGTCCTCGTTGTTTCATACAATTTTCCGCTATACAATCACCGAATTGGCTTTTACTCCGTTGGTGAGAGGGGTAAGATGTAAAAGTTCAAGTTCACTCAAAATATTCATTCTCATGGAGACTCGTAATTCTTTTTTTTGTACAAAAGGTTTCATAGGGCATGTACATTAAGCTATAGGAGCGAAATTCTGACTATCACTGATATTTATGTAGATGTTGATGTACATATTATTTACTAGAGAAGTTGTTACACACCACCATCCAGCTTCACTAAACTTCAAAAATAAATCTATATTATGATCATAAGAATCGTATATTTAGTATCATTCATCACTAACAAAAGCAGTCAAGCTCTTGGTAAAATGTAAATTTTACTTCATTATTGGTTACAAGGCTGTTCTGCTTTATTGATGAAAACAGTATCATATAACGTCGTTTCTAATTAGTTTCTTTGCATGACTTCGTTTCTTATTTTTAATCATCAAAAATTCAAATTCAAATTCATCCGTCGCTTTCGTCTAGAGTTTACTGAATGCTTATTTTCCGGTTTTCCTGCTTCTTCGATTTTGGTATCATGACGCTCAGTATTCCGTCCTTCATCGAAGCCTTTACACTTTCCTGGTTCACCGGTACCGGGAATGTAAAAGATCTCGAGAACTCTCCAAT